ATATACGAATATCTAACGATATAATTTACAAAAAAATGGAAAACGTATATTTTAATTATAGAAATTTCATGATTCCTAGGTACAAATTGATTCAACTAAAGAGTATGGGAAAGAAAAAAACAAATTTAATCAAATTAAGAAAACTAATTTTCCACTTCAATATTTATTACTGATAATAACGATATTAATTATTTAGTTTTATTTATTGAGTAAATTAATCTTGTGATTTGCAAGATGGCATTGTAAAGTGTTCGGCTTGCATCTATGTTATATATATATTGCCTACCAATTCTTTTGTGACTTTCGTCGGTAATGACAGTATATGTTATTGTATATTTCTTTAATGATAAAGTATTCGACTCATTAAAGTAATTTGATAAGTTTAAAAACGAACTTATACAATTTAACGATTCTTAGTTTTAACAAGTTTATTGGTATTTATTTTTAAAGGATATTCTATCAATAATTCATTTCAATCACGAAAATATATGCATTAATCATTAATTTTATTATATTTAATGACATAAATTATAAAATAGTTAATTCAAATATTTATATAAGTAAATATATTGAGATTTTCATAAATTTATCACAATATTGGTCACAAATTATAATTCATACTATTGAACATATTACGGTATAATGATGAAATAAACGTGACCAATTGTTTGAAATATTTATGCGATAAAAATTAAAAAATAGACAATTCATAAATATAATGAATAAAGCTATTAACAAATTTTAATTTAAATGACAAATTTCTAAGTACATGAAATTTTCATTTTTAATAAAAATAAATAAAAATAAATAAAAATAAATATACACATATAACAGAAAATCATAAGTATGATTCTACAAAAAATAAATTAATAATTCAACTGAAGGAATGTTATCTTTAAACAGTGTTTAATGTTTAAATTTAAGTTATAAAGTTTATTTCAAAAATATATATTATGGTATAATATAATATTAATATTTAATTTGGTAAGTCTAGCCATTATTAGAAAAATCAATAAGCCCCGCAAACACAATGAATGGAAATAGAATATAGTTTTATATAATTTTCGTTATTAATTAAAATATAGATAGTTGAATATAATAGATAATATAATATATGATGAAATAAACTATAGTAGATTTTAAAGCTAGTTTTGAAGGTATTAATGAAATATAATTATCTAATGTGCTATTTGTTACTTAATTTTTTTCAACCGGATCAAAATTCACGGAATTGAAATATTGATAATAGTCGGATCTTCTTCATACTCTACTTCCGGTTAGCAGAAGTTAAATTTTATTATACACTATATAGCATAAAAGATGTGAGGAATTAAAATATATTAATAATTATTTAAAGAATTTTATAAGTCAAGTTTAATCAGGAAATAAAATCATGTACTTAAATTTACATTGTGCAATCAATATAAGAAATAAATACATTTTGAAATATTACAAAACATACTCTTAAATATTTATATTTACATGGCATTGTTAAGTAAGTTAAACTATAATTTAAACTACAATTCGCAACCAATTAACATTACAAATAATATAGAACTTTTAATTATACTGTGAACAAATACGAACTAAATCTTCTGTAAATCATAAAAATAAATTGATAGAATGAAAATAACAATATCTAAGTATTTCAAACGACTTTGCGCTAAGTAAATACCAACAAGGATGTATAATGCCTCTAACCAGAGAAGTGTAGCTATGTCAAACTTGTAAGATATTTTACATTTATGAATATCAATTTTTTAATATTGTATTATATTATAAAGTATTATAAAAATATAATAATAAAATTTTGGAAAAAAGTAAACTTAAAGCTACTATAAAGGAAATCATGTTAATAACAAAACTATTAAATATGTATTTGATAAAAATACTATATTTTTTCTTGACAATCCTGATCTCGCAATAGTATATACTAATTGACATACTACTTCACTGCTACATAAAGATTTGAAAGAATTGATTGATATTAAATAATTAAAAATATATTTAAAAAAAATGCCTTTTATATTAATTTTATTGTTTTTTAATTTCTATTTATTACTTACTACAGGTACTTCCTTACTTCTAAAATATTAATAATGTTATGATAACTCATCTTATATTTCAAAATTTTATAGGATTAAGACAACTTACTTACACAAAACAAGAATGCCACAATTGTTGCGCGGGTAAGACATTTAAATTTTAATAAAAAATCTATTATTGCTTTTAAACTTATTAATTTGATAATATATATATACTAAGTTTTACATTATGTTAATTTCTTTATTTTGTTTTAATATTATCATATAGTAATAGTAAATTAATAATTATTTTAATGAACTAAGAAATATAAAAAGAATATAAAATGTGTCAAGATTTATAGAAATAAATTCAAGTAAAAAATAATTTTTACTTTAAAAATGTTTTCATGAGAATATTTTTTAATTAAAAATCAGCTCTGCCTGAAGAACTACACAAACGATGCAATTATAAATGTATGTTTAAATTTTCAAGTAAGTTAAATAAATATCTTACATATCTTTGAATATTCGAACGTTTATTTTTACATATAAATACAATCATAATAATTTGGAATTTAGTATAAAACAGCTGTTTGTTTGCTGGTTGTTTTGTTACCGAAACAATTTGATCGATAAAACTAAATTCTATACATACATTATTTCATGTAGAGTGATCTTAATAATAAAATTAATATTTTAGAACAATTTTTTCTTATTAATAATTTATTCAAAATAATTTCGAATAATTTTATTTTATATTTAGAAAGTATAATGTATGGATCAGTTAAAAGATGTATTATAGGTTGTAAAGGTAAGATATACTTTACTTATAAATTTACTATTTAATAACATAATTATTTTGTAAAATACACTTCTAATAGATATAGAAAGTGTTTTTAAATTCTATTCTAATTGTCATTTTACATGCTTATTTCTAAAAAATATGTATGTCAAAAGTTGTGTATTCTTAATTTTTAATATGAATAAAAAATTATGATGCTATGAGTAAAAGCAAAATGTTAGAATAATTGTACATGAAAATATTAATCACATTTTATAAAATTTTATTGAAATACGTTATTCTTTTACATGCTATCAAAAAAGTTATTTTAGCAGAATGCAGAGAAGAGTGCAATAATGCATGCAACACTATGTTTGTTAGTAAGTTGAATTATTTATAGGATGTTTATACTATTTATTATATAACATTCATATTTATTATACCGCATTAATTATATTATATATTATTTTAGAAAATTTTTAACGTTACTTATCTTTTTAGCGCGTAGGACTACAGAACAAATTTATGGAGTATGGCATCCAATAGAAAACAATGTTTAGAAATATTATTTTGCAACAGCAAACAGTACTTAATACAATGATTCAGAATAATTTACTAATTCAAAAATAAACTTACTTGGAAATAATCACACAATTGATTTAGTTAACAAATTTTTTATTTAAAATGTATTAATAGTAATCCTTTGATCAATTTATTCTAAAATCAATTAAAAATATATCATTTAATACCAGCAGATTACCAATATAACATTTATCAAATAAAAAGTATTAAAAAATAAGTAAAATTGAACTCGCTTGAACGAAAAAAATGATCATAAATTTAACAAATCTAATCTTAAATATATTTAATATAAAATTGATGATATTTGATAAAAATGCTTCAATTAGCTAATCAAAAATCTGTAATAATTATTACGAATGTCATTAAATGTATATACTATTATAAATGTAGTAAAAATTATAACACTATAATAAAAAAGACAAGGTTACTTTTTGTATTCTTTCTAAAAAATTTAAGTGAAAATCTTTATATGTAAATGTGTGTATATTTGTATATAATTTAACGAAATACATTCGATTTATTAAAAAAAATATTGAAGAATAGAAATTAATATATTTTTCCAATCAAAGTAAATAAATTGATTAGATATTAAGAAATGTTAAAAACAGCAAATGTAAATAGATAAAAATAAAAGCAAATGTAAACAAATATTTAAAAATATTTATTATATATAATCTGTTATGAATATGTATATTGCATTCTTACGTATTGAAAATATTATTTAATTTTATGTCGATAATATAATATAAAAAGAAATCATAGCCGACCTAGCTGTATTCAGCAATTGCGATAAGGTAGCGTAAACTTTCTACTCGATAAAGTTTATTACACAGCAATAAATAGTAGGAAAAACATATTTTTCATGATTATATTAAAATTTTGAAAAATAAAAATCATTTTCCATTTAATATTACCATATGATACATACCATAATATCATATACCATATATGATAAATTTACTATTACTTTCACAATATTGAGTTATGAATCGTTTTATTATGTTAATTAAAAAATAAAAAAAAAACAAGTAATTTTAAAATTAATATATATACATGAATTTAACTTATTGGTACCACATAAATAGCATATATAACTCAAAAATATTTTAAATGTGTTAAATTATCATTTATTACAATTTATTACATTTTTAATGCATAAATACTACACATACATAAGTAATATAAAGAACATAATACATTAATAATAAAAAAGCAGTTTATTTGATAATAAATATAGTATATTTAGTAATTATTACATATATAATTTTTTTTATCAAAATATCTTTCAAATAATGAACGTTTAAAATTAATTTATTCTCTAAATTAGTTTCATTTCTTACTTCAAAAATTAATTTTATTTTTAACTATTTTATTTACAAATTCAGAATATAAATTGACACGAAATTATTAAAATATTTTTATCCAATTATTATGTTACTCCAACAATCTAGTAAAAATCTATCATTCTTAAATTTAGAATGTTGGAACACAAATCAAATAATTGTACTATGAAAATAAAGCAAATAATAAGAACAAAACCAACACTTATTAACGTTATATTCTAAATAGAATAAGAAAAATCGTTCTAAATTTCCGATAATAGTTCTAACTAATTATTTAATTTTTATACTATGCTTAAAAATTTGTCAATGCAAAATGTGAAAAATTGTAAAAGCAGCCAATATATTGTTCAAATACTAAAGAACAAAGTGTCTTTAAAATGCATATCTCGTCCGAATGTCTTCAAGTTTTTTGGAGACCTCGGATGGAGTTCTCTCAAGATCACCTGCGATGCTTTTTTGTTTTGCAGGCTCAATACTGTTGAACTGTTCACAAAGATCACCATCAATTACATTTTTGACAGGATAATAATACGAACGGAAACTAAGATGATCACGTCCGCATAGAGGCGGATGTTCAGCGCGCATATGCATCTCCAAGTGCTGAAAAAAGTCATGGTCCTCGTGACTAGTAAAGGGCACGAGGACACCCACGGTACCACTTAGCGTTGTGTAGACTAGAGATTCGGAACCACCTGGAATCAGGGTCGCCTTCTGTAGAGACATCACTGTCTCGCCCACGTGGAAGCAGGCCACAGTGTCCGCCTTTTGAGAGGCTCCATTCAAGAGGCCACGATCCCATAGGGCCTTATTGCCTGTTGGATCTTCGTCCACATCGTCATTAATCCCACTCGCTAATCGGATCTATAATTTTTTAATACAATTTTGTACGATATTATCATTATAAATTTTTTATCACAATGAATCAATACATGTACATACAATACTTGTATAGTTGTCAATCTTTATGTTGCACTAGCAAATATAAAAGAATATATAATTATAAATTATATTATCTAAGATTAATATAATTTCAAATTGAAAAAAAACTAAGTTTTTTTTTGCTTTTAAGAATGACAATGTTGTACAAAAATTTTATATTTTATTTTTATTTTTTCTTGTTAAAATATATAGTTAAAGACAATTCTAAAATAAAAAACTTATTTAGAAATTGAACGACTGCGTTTTAGCAACTACGTTAGAAAATAAAGTAAATTAAGAAATTTCAATTGTTACATCAACAATCTGGTTAATTCTTAACTCTCAGCAGAAAACAAAATGTAATTTCGTGTAACTTTTTCAGTTCTATATAATTTGAATGATAAATTGATATTTTTTAAAATTTTCAGAGTAAAGAAATAAAAAATAAACACTAACCACAGCAATGTTGCCGAATTTATCTGCTATTGCAACGGTATCATAATCCAACACACAAGTAGTTGTGATCCATCTCGGATGAGTGTCATCGGCAAACACAATTAACTGATTCTCTTGCCTTTTGTATCTAACTGCGTACACCGATTCCTGGACATCACTTACATATATTCTTTGACCAATCGCATTTATGCATACAACGGCGTTTGGTATATGTTTGTTCTCGCACTTGCGGAGCAGCTTCTTCTTACCCATATCATATAGTCGTAGCATCTTTCCAACACCCACCAAAACGCGACCCTGATACGAACAGATCGATAACGGGATCTCGTCGAGTGTCGTACGATGAACCAATTCGATGTTTGTACAATCTGAACTAACTCTATAAAATCAATAATTTTTAATAAACAAAAATTTATCAAGTCAAAGTGAATTTTATTTTTATTTTTTAAGCATCAGTACTGCAGGTATATCATCAGGAAGCAGTGAGTGTAATACTATCGTCATAACTAATTTAATTATTTCTTAAAGCATTTGCCAAGTTAGTTTTATTTTGCAATACAATCTTACCGGCGATTCTTCAAAGCCAATTTAAAAAAAAAACTTACTTATAAGTATAAAGAAATCCACCATTGCTGAGTCTTGGATTTAATTGATATTCTTTTGCAATACCAATAATAAGGAATTGTTGATCTCCCTGATTTGCAAATTTCACAAGAGCCAAACTGAAAGATTTATTTAAAATTAAATCATACAAAGTTATTATAAAATAAATTAAAATAACAAAATTAATCCTGTAGAAATCTAAATTTGGAATAACAAACTGTTTGCTTACTTAACGATTTCAATAACCATTAAAAAGAAACTGAAAATGGGATGTTATAGCTATTTTATTTTTGGCATTTATGGAATCTATAAAATAATTATAAATATTTTGCAGACAACGAAATGCCACATCAATTATTAACATATTTTTATAATAATTAGTACATAAACTAAAATAAAAATTATTTAATAGAAGTTTAAATTTAAAGTAAATATGCGCACTTACGTAATTATGCGTAATAATTGTAGGTAACAATTTAAAAATTGACATGAATTTAAACACTTATAATGACTACTATAATATAAATATTTAAAATACGTATCTGATGAGTCAATGGCTAAGTAATATGTTTGTTTAAAATTTACAACAGGTACAACCCATAGAGTGAATTATTGCATAAATATGTAAAATAAAAAGAAAGAAAAATAATAGTCACCAGAGTGCAGCCAAATTCTGTTCGAGTCTATGGACTTGGAATGTAGTACCGGATGTAGGTGCCATAACCCTGATCATAGAAGCCCAAAGACCAGGTCCAGCCCTAGGAGCACCAAAAACCTGCTCGTTCGGCTCTTCTGAGAGAAAGGCTTCGGCCAATTCGCGAGCAACCGCAGCCTCTTCAGCACCAGCCGCTTCTTGCATCTCTTCAGCCATTTGCAATCGTCGCTGTTGTTTGGTCTCCTCCGTGTAAGCATTATGCTCCGTCTCGATGAGCAAGATGTGCGCCGACTCGTTATGAATAACGAATTTACGTGGCGTATACTCGAAAGGAAAACTAACCTGATTAAAAACAGCGCCGAGTTTCTCAAGTGCTAAAATTCTGTAAAACAATACATTTACTAAATATAATAATAAATCAGTTACCCAATATTTTATATTAAAAATTAAGTAATTTAAATTTTTGTAGAGATTCTACATTTGCTATTCTTACGAACTCACCTTAAGGTATTGGTAGAAATGGCGACGATACCTTCTGGACATTGTTCTGAACTGAACCCAGAGGCGAACTCCAAGCTCTCGTAAGATAAGGGCGTCAGATGGAATCGATTTTGATAATAATAACTTAACCAAGAGCGACTACTCATAGCAAGAACAGCCTGATTACCTTGCATTCTAATGCGGAACAACTTTACTGGTCGAGAACCGAGATAACGTGTTCGCGTATCAGCTAAATCACCTGATATTGGGTCCAAAACTGTCCTAAGTAGGACTCCGTTTTGCAAGCCTAAAAACCAATCTTTTGTTTATTTGTATGTCGATTTTGAACTAATTGTATCTTTAAACAAAATTGTACATCATTATTTAATGAAGGTTATAATCAAAGTATGTCAGTTGAAACACGGACATTGATAATTTAATCATCTGTTGTAACTCTTAGGCAAATAAGTAGAAAATAATCTAAACCTAGAAAAACAGCAGGGTACTTTTAACATTTTGATAATAGAGCAGCAATAAATAAATTAACATTTAATCAATATAAAAATCATAAGTACTTAAAACATATGTAAACTTGGACTTCGAAATATTATGAATAAAAATGAATTTCATGTTAAAATAGAAAAGACAACTAACCTATATTTAAGTGGAGTGTTGATTGCATCTGATTACTATCTTCGCCAGCATCATTGTCCTTAATACCCATCTCAACAATACAAAGGCTCTCAGCAGCGGCTGGCAAAGCCTGCATACTTCTAGGTGCAAGGCAGTCCGATGGATCAAGAGAAATAATGCGCACAGTGTTGTCCTGAAGTCCAACTGCTAAGAACCATGAGCGCTGCTCACCAGCGGCGACATTCCCCAGAGCCATGCACATTACCTCCGACGGCATCTTTTTGCGCTCTGTATATTCGTTTAGTTGACCGGTCTGAATTATTTCAATCAGAAAAATAATTCCTACATTTATAATTGATCCATAATTTGCAAGTCAATTTTAATGAAATTATGATATGGCTTATTAGAAAATGGCTTATTCTTTTTTAAAAATTTTCAATTTACTTCATAGATTTATAAAAAGTAAATTTATTATCAAATAACTTTCTATTTTCAAAGAATAAGAATTTAGTATTCATATATTTTTTCAACTTGTTTGCTGCATAACAACATTAACAGTCAATAAATGGCAGTTAAATATGGGATAAGTTGCACTTTTTTTACGCTTCCATTACGTCTTCGAGTATATAAACCAACTCGCAGTGAACAAGATGCGATTGATAATTCTAAATATTATTTCTTTGACAGGAGATGGTATAACTTGTAAAAGGCAAAGGCTTACCGGATCCATTTCAAAGTAGACAAGTTCTCCTCCAGTCAAAGCAATGACAACTTGACGTTGATTCACTGCACATTTGATAATAGTTTTCTTCCCAGGAGCCTTCCATTCATTGACACGTTTATCTGCTCGAATGTGACGAATACCATCAGGGTACACCTGAGAAAAATGAAATATTATTAAAGTTTTTTTTTAATTTGGATGAATATAAATTTAATTTTGTAACATATTTTCTGTCAATGTCTAGGCTTATTTACCAGGACTACTTTAAAAAAAGTACACCAACGATGCAAAAACCTAATTTAATTTTGCACTTTATATGCGACCGATACGTGGATAAAATCCAGGTGTCGGAGATACCAGAGTGCTATTTATAAATTTGAACATGTTTATATTCAAAATTACAATGCTCACTAAAAACATATTAACGTTTTATATAAATTTATATGGAATGGTTAATATTAAAATTATATACAATTACCTGAACTAAAGCATCATCACCTAATGCGGAACAGCTAAGGGTTGGCGTCGTCCCCAAAAAACCGGAATCTGTAACTTCCTCGACCGTCTCTCCAATACTAAGTACCAAAGTGGCATTCACGAAAGACACTATGATGTATGCATCGAATTCCTCTGTAACCAAAATCACGACTCGTCTGGTTAAATCAAATCACAGACAAACTGACAGACATTGGCAACCAAAAAAATTTCTTCCAAAAATTTTTCTTTCTGACCCGTTATGACCAAAGATCCTATTTTATATAAATTTATTTAATAAATATTAAATGACAAAAATTTATACTTTTATACATATTTGTATTTAATAATGTAAACATTTTGTAAAACATTTTTCATTAGGAATTAATATAGTGAGTTCAAATTTACAAATTTTGGACAAAATTTTTAATCATCTATTAATACTATTTCTGCCTTAATATAAATGGCATATAAAAATAAACATTTATTTAAATAAATACGTTCTATTAAGTCATATGTAATTTAATGGTATAAAATAAATTAAATAGATTTTAAAATTAATTAATGAGCTTATATTTTGTATTTAAATTATTTTTGATTTTCATGTGTACTTGTTTTTTTTTCTTGTATGCAGCAAGTGTAAATAAAAGAATAAACACTACGTAGCGCGAAAAGTTAATATGAATTATACCAATGGTACAATTGATACAATCTTACATCTTAAAACAGGATAAAGATGTACAGGAGAAATTTCAATTATGATTATCATCATAAACTTCCTCAAACAATACTCTAAATCACACTTGATGAAATCCGAGTAAGTTGTACATCTTCTCTCAAGTTCCATATATAACTATCTCTCATAATGAGATATTCAATCATTTTACAATCATATGATTTTATCTCATACTTCAAAATTTTGTAGTATTAAAAATGCAGTATTAAAAATTGTAACTAAAGGTATAATTAAATATTAATATATTAATATAAATATATTATTAATTTTTTTAAAGCTCACCATTAATTTTTTGTTTGATAAAAATCTTCTATGAAACTATTTTGATTAACAAGGGATTCTCGGTCTTAACGGGCTAATGAAAAAAAAACAATAAGAGCTGAATGTGTTGTCCGACGGAGATTCTCGCACGCGCAGCTTCCCTTACCTTTCGCACTCAACAGCCAGGTATCAAACGACTGATCATCCAATGCCGACAGCCTGAAAGGAGAGAACTGGTGTTTGATAAGAGTGTATCAAACCACCAGGCTTCAATTATCTATGCTTATTTTAGTTTTATTTATTTTTAATGCAGATCGCAGTTTCATTTCATGGAACAAATTTTATAAATGGTAGTTGCAGAGTAGAAAAACTTATATTAATTGGCTATATAAAATAAAATGACTAAAAGCAGCATAATTAACATTAATTTTTTTCTCCCAATTACACAATAAATGCAAACTTAATAATTTTCTAAATAAAGATTTTCAATTCGGTCATAAAAATAATAATTCTTTCGTAATAAAAAATTTCGTTTTAAATTTTATATAAAGTCGCAAACGTTTTATGATGTACAGAAAAAATATTTTCAAAATTACTTAGATAAGTAAAACTAAAGGTGCAGTGCATGTTACAGTATGCGTAAACTATATTAACTAACCGTCGATGCGTCTTTTGACAGTCCACACAGCATTTGGATTACCAGGTAATTCACTCACAGCCATCTCTGAAACTTCGAGACCATGTCGTAATACTCGTAAGGTTGACCGTGGACCACGACCACATGCTATATATAATTGTGGCGTATCTTCATTGGCTAAATCAGCAACCTAAAATATATTACATTTGAATTAGTAATCCATTTTCCATCTTTTGTATATCATCTTTTGTATATCTACTTTTCAGTCTAAACATTTTGTTATAATTTAATATTACTTTATTTAATTTAATAATACTTTATATATCACATATCATGTCAACGTCGATATCTAATTCTATGAAGTGATTTGTAATTTGTAAAGTGCGAACTCTAAAAAAGGGCTACTCGAAAAAAATGTATAAGCATTCATATACCAGTTAAGCTCAGTATTTATTAAATATGAAATCTACGATATGATTTATGCACAAATAAAATCAAATATAATTATTTTCCAGAATATTCTTACATAAGACATTAAGAATAGAAAATAAAATGCTATATAATATGATTTATTATTTTTTGATTCACTTCATCTTGCAATAACAAGTTAAAGGCGACAAAAAATATTTGCTATTGCATTTATCACAGAGAAAAAACTTGATTTGTCAAAGACATCATCTTTTCTCTACTTGTAAATGCTGAAATTGTTTACATACTGTGGTGCCAACATTTTCCTTCTTTTATTTTATTAAAATATAAAAACATATTACAAAGATTAATAAATAAATCTTTTGAAGTACCTGGCAAGCCATAATAGGTGAGAGACTGTCCATTTCATCCACAAGCACTAAATTTCTTAAAGGTCTAGGTGCAAAAAAGAACGTGTCACCCTCCTCCAAAGGCATTGCAGAACTGAATTCTGGTTCATCATCATCGTCACCCAAATGAGCAATTTGATATAAGTAACTGTAATAAAATGTATACAATTTAGATTTAAAAAATATATATAACATATAAGAGCAAAAAAATTCACCTGACTTTCATTATTATTGCTATCTTTTATTATTTTTTAAGCAAATAAGTATATTATTTAAAAAATTAAAAACTTACTGATTTCCGAATTCTGAAGCAACAAACAGAAAACCAGTCTTAAGTACACACATGCTGGTAGCTACAGGCACTGTATCAAAGTACTTGAGCTTAATCTCTGTCACAACATCTTCATCTGTTTCTAAGGTAATTTTGAAAATATCACCCTGTTCGGTTTGTGCCAAGAAAAAAAACATGCTTTTTGTTTTATGAGTTGCAGAACAAACAAATATCATGCCACGCTCAGGATCATCAAGATCATTCCTACGTCGTGGAATTGGACAACGAATGTCTGGTTGATCACCCAAATTCTTGTATGTTAAGTAATTTTCTGAGCAAATGAGTACACCACTTGGGCCATCATTTCCACCAGGTACAGAAACCAAGAAATTTGCGTGCTATCGATAATGAAAATAAATCTCAGAACAATTTATATTTTACAAAGATTTATGATCTTAGTTCTTAATTAAATTACTTTTGCTTAAAATTATGATTAAAAATTATTATAATGCATATTTATTTATTAAATATTTCAAATAGGTGCATACTTGTGCATACGTACATTAAACTATATAATTACATACGTATCGATTTAAATAAAAATCATAATTATTGCCATCAGTTAATATTAACAATGCAATGAAAAGTTGGTTTATTTCATGAATGATTAGATGTGTAATAAAGTAATATATTTAGAAATATAATTTTTAAACATTAATTTTAATATATTTCAATATTTTATTGAAATGAAATATATACTAACTTCTTCCAAGGGTTCACTGTACTTGCGCACAACATGATTAAGACCAAGATCAAGTTCATAAAATGTTAATGTCTGTTGTGTTTTTATAGCTGCTTCTCCTGTTGGATCAGTATCAGCTTCTTCGTAATCAATTTCCAAGCACGCAAACATAGGATTTTCAAAACCTACATCTACACCAACTACATGGTAAACAAGTGTATTACTCTTATGTGCTTCTAAAGGAGATGAAATTGTAAGACGAGCTTCAGGATCTCTATTAAGAATGTAGACTAATTTTTGTTTCTCAATAGCTCCTAAAAAGAAATTAAAAATATTTTAACATTAGAAATGCTTGGCTAATATCTTAATATAACAATACATACAAATATTTTATTTTACAAAATCAATTTTATATAACTATTCTCTATTTTTAAAGACAATATTATAATTATAACAATAATTAAATTAATTAGACAGAAAAGTTTTAATTAAAAACTTTTGTAACTCTAAAATATCACGAAATAAACTGCCATTTAGAAATATTAATTTTAATCAATTTATTGAACACAAGAAAATAAATAAATGTAATGCAATCTTTAAAAATTTAATACTGATTTTCTATACCAATAAAATATTTTTATACCGATCATGACAGCACGACCCTTAGGATCAATAGCCAAATATTGTCCGGGAACAATTCTTCTGCATCCACTTTTACCAAATGTTTCTTGATGTACCTTTTCAAAAACATTTTTTGCAGAAACATACTCCAAAATAACAATACGCCCTGAATCTGATCCAACAACAATATAATCTTTGGTACCACCAGTTAACCTAAAGGCCATTAAAGATCTAACGATGCCAAAGACTTCGACCGTCAAGATTGTGTGTACTTTGCCAGTATTAGGATCAGGCCTAAGAAGTTCCAGAGATTTACCTCTTGAAACCAAAATCTCTTGCATCTTGGTACCAGAAAAATTACCATGAACAGCGTGAGTAATGCCTGTGGCACGCTGCAGCGTCAAATTATATAGATACATTTTGGTGTTAAATAGTTGAAAAGGCCCTTTATATTGTTGTAGTCTAATTCGATACTAGGTTATTCTAAAAATTGTATAGACCGTATTAGATAAAAAATTCCAAACATCTTTTATTACATAACTAGTGTAGATAATAAAATTTTTAATATTTCTCATTACAATATATCATTATGAAGTTAATTTCCAAAAATTATTTAAACATGAAAGCAAAGTAACATTTTATAAATCAAAATAATTTTGATGGATACAACTATTAAAATATAATTTACCTAACTTACATATCCATTTTAATAATTTATCGTTGATATAAATATTAATCATATAATTCAAAAATTTTAATTAATTAGTAATTACAAGATTACACTAACTATTATTATTAATTAAATTACCATTCATTTCCGTATTTGAATCAAGCATGCTTAAAAAGTATATTCAATGCAATTGTAATTTAATTTTTAAATGAAAAATTTTGTCTACTTTAAACAGATACAATAAAATCAAATGAATAATCTAACAAAATCAAAGGGCAAACAAAAAACAATCATCCAAACTCAAACAAATAACTACAAATGTTTTCAAACTTTACAACATAAAGTACACGAGATCAGAATAAAATAAGTTATTGTAACAATAAACTACAAATTTCGTAGTTAATTTTACCTTATTTCAAGATGGCATTGTTACAGACTCCAACGATGTTCTTCGATTATAGCTCAGGGAAAGAAAACGGCGTCGACTTCGTTGGAGTGTCGCCATTCACGCTATTCAAGCAAACGCCTAATAAGAAAATGGTGGCTGTCGCGTTAGTGAGCAGGAAGCCGGCACTCAGAAATGTACTAGAAAAGATAATCGGCAACCGGAAGGCATGGTTTACAATACAACTTGTAACAGATGAGACACGAGGCCCAATTCGATGGAAGCGCCTTCAGTAGTAAAAGCCTCGAACTCAACGAAAATTCTGAAATCCATGGTTTACTAATTACGGAATGACAAACATTCCGTACGATTCTAATCCTTAGAAAATTAAATAAAAAAAAGCTGTTTAAAAATAATAAATATAAATTAATATAAATTAATTACTCGTAATTGTTATAATTGTTTAGCTCATTATTTTTTTGTTATAGTAATTGTATAAAGCATCAAAAAAATTTATTTAATTAATCATTAAAAAAAATATTCGTTTGAATTGATTTTAATGTTTTATTTAAAAGTTATGTTATGTTAATCTATATTCATAAACTAGTCTGATTTTAGGTATCTGCAGAAATTTGTAAAAAACACTAGAACTATTTTAAATTTATGTATGTTTAATTATTTTGCCACGTGAGGCGCCAGCTTAAAACTAAAAATTTTGACCTTTTATTCATGACTTATGAAATTGTACGTAACGATTCTACGTTATTTATATACATCTATTAGAATTTATAACTTTATCTACAAAATTATCTACATAAACTGGGTAAAGGTAAATTTGTGCAATATTCGTCTTTTAATATAATGCTGTCTTACAGTGAACATTAGAATCAAGATATAATAGATATTTTTATACTTATTATTATTATTATTATTATTATTATTATTATTATTATTATTATTATAAACATAAATTTATCACTGAAAACAAATTTATTTATTAAAAGTTCCTATTTAAAAAAATACGTAATATAATAAATATCAAACTGCTGACTTAATATTTTTAAAAAGATCTATCACGAAGATTTACAGTTCAACTTTTTAATTTCATATATGATTAGAAGTCTAAATTATCATAACTAAAATGAATATATTTTATTTTCTCTCCCTACAATGCACTTTTATAAAAAAAAATTACAAAAACTATAAATTTTCTTGTTTGTATAAATGGTGTTTAAGGCAGAAAGATTCATTAGATAAAAAATTTTTTGAAATTGAGAATTTAATTTATCCCGATGAACAGGATAAAAATAAAACTTTGGAACTTACGGATTTCGTAACATAAAAAAAGAGCAAAGGAATATTGTAAAATATTTATAAAATATCCAAATAGCAAGAACTGGAAAAGACAAGACAAAGAAAAGACGTTATTTGGGAATATAACGACAAAGGGAAGCGAAACCGAGACGTCATGGAAAATTAAAAGTCAAAGTAGTCTTCGCTATCGGCACCGGAGCTCAAATGAGATAACAACCCACATACTCGAACCTCTTCCTTCCTAACATTCATGAACGATTGCAGACTCGTTGTTGTTCCGGTTATTTTTTCCTCCCTATGCTATGCATCTCTGTCACTAACGTTGATGAATCGACATTCTCACCCAATCTTAAAGCTTCTTCTTCCTCTATTCAATATTTTGCAAATTTTTACTAAGAAGCAATGACATTGATGGGAAAGAATGGCTCAAATGTTTAGTCAACTTGACAAATGCACTAATAAAAAAACAATTATACTTAATTATTGATAGATGAATATGGAGAGAATTGTAAATTAGTTGGCTTATGAAAAGATAATTTATGATGACTTCTCACAATATTTTAGAACTAGATTTATTTTATTTAGTCACTTACAAAAGTATAAAAATAGAAAATTTCAATTTCTCTATATTTCTAAGCAGATTACACAAATAAAATTGATAATGAAAATGAAACGATCATTTTTAGATTTTTATTTCTTACTCAACTTTTTATTACATAAGACATTCAATATTTATTTACTACTTATATACATAAATAATGTTTAATAAATATAATTATTCAAAAAATTAAAAAAAGTTATAGATTATATATCGTACGTCAGGTCATATCTAATTCACTGTTTCTTACGATGATTTCCTGAAATCCCTGATAAACTTATCTAAATGAAATATCCACGAAATGGGTAGACATGATTTAATTACATTTTCATGTCTTCATTTTTTGCTTGCTTCTCCCATATTTACATTCTTGACATATAATTTAATGATTGAATTGCTATTTTCTTTTTTTTTTGTTTTTAATAAGTTAAACAAAATTATTTATTATATAAAAATTATCATACGTATACAGTATATAGCTATTGCTTGATTGTAAATGAAAACTATCTGGTTTATTATACATTTAGTGTTCTAATTTAAAATTAGCTTAAGTATATAAATTTATTGTTAATGAATTTCGATTCGAATCTAATAATTTTAACTTTCAAAGCATATTTAATGCATATCAAATATACAAAGATATTAAAGACAATTACGATAAAAATATTTTATATTTTGTATCTTTCAATATTGAAATATTTTATATTATAATATTGATTTTTTGTAATTATTCTATAATTTTATAAAAAGGATAGTCCTTAATTCTTTATTGTATTGTAGAATAAATTATAATCATAAGTAAGGTCTAAACATAAATTTATAAGGATTTTGATATATTTGAGATATATTTTTCACTGCTTATGTAAAATAATTCGATCAAATTTAGGTACATAATTAGTATTTTAATCAGTAAAAGAAGTTTTATTTAAATAAAAATTATTCAATTATCCAATGATTCAGCAAACATATATTTTTCAATAATTTTTACAAAATAATAAAAAATTTTTTAATACAAGATTAAATATAGTTTGTTAATTATCAATATATATTAATATTGATATATTTATAAATTATAATGCCAAAGACCAATTTTTCTAAATTCTAAAGAATTGCTTAATTAAAGAAATACTTTTTTTATGAACTAATCAAAATTTTCAATATGTAAATGAAACTTTTATTTAAATAATTATTTAAGTAGATAATATAGTAGTGTATAATCAACATAGTAAACTATAACAAATTCGTTTAATACGAATCATAGATCTACAGATTGATTCTATATTCGAAATAGTCAAATTTCACATAACAAATTCTCTGCTATTTTGTTGCTTTTCTCTTTCTTTTTTTTAGTGTATGTACAGAAAAATTAGCTTATTTTGATTATTTAAGGCCTGATCAAAATTCATTCAACTAAGATTAATGAATAATTACTTATCTCAACGAAGATTCAAGGGCTGAACATTGCTAAAATTTGCAGGTATTATGAGATCTCTGATAGCAAGACTGTCTCTAATATCGATATCTATGTAAGAATTATTGACAGTAATAAAAGTGACTGCCGCATTAATTTGTCAGTTATAAGCGAGCTTTAAGAGCAACTGGGGTGGGAGTACAAAAAGTCGTTTAAGGTCGCACTTGTTGTGTCTGCCAAGTCTCAACATTCAACACAAAAGTTAAATATTGAATATATTTGAGTACAGGAATTATTTAAAAATTTACTACTAATTAATCGTAATAATTTTTAATGTCTTTCTTAATGCTATTTCTTTAAATCTAATACATATAGTATATTTTTAAAAATGTATTAACTTGATTATAAATATCAATTTTAATTTAAAAAACGTTTCCTATTTAAATCGATCGATAATTTGAATACTTGGATAAATATGTTAAAAGCTTAAAAACAGGCTTATTTTTACGTTAAATTAATCTACGATAGAAATAGAATAAAAATTGCGTATAACTTACACTTAAAGTTAAACACTTAAAAAAAAGAGTTATCTATTATAAATTGTAAAAATGTATTGATTGTTAATTGTATATGATAAAAAAACCTCATATCTCTCGATAATTTAAGGGTTCAATTTAAAGTTCATTGAAATTCAATAGGTAAAATTTTTCACACAACATGAAACTTTATTCCAATATTAAGATGTAGTTATTGAGCGACCTAAACAAAACTTTAATACATGCTGATCAGGACTAAACCACAAGACATTTGGAGATATTTTGTTAGAATAAATGATGCCAAACCAACTTTTATTAAGAAGTAATGAGATGCCAATATTATAATCCTTATTTATGTCGATAAAACATCTTGAGTCTTAAATGAAATAGAGTTTTATAAAATTTAATTTTTTAGTGCAATCAAAATAAAAGATAAATTTATTCAATATTTATGTATTTCATAACGAATTGTAATAACGAACTATAATAACATGAAATCGAAGCATGAAAGAGTAGTAAAATATACCATTTAATAAAAGAGCTAAAATAATAAAATAGAATATTGAGTATAAAATATAACAAAACAAAATACCTTATATACATCATAATGTGAATACTCAGATAAAAACGGATTATACTTAGAAGCAAAAGTACAGCGTTAACAGATCCTAGACATCCTATGTAATATAATAATTATAAGTACTAATAAATTAATTTATTAAATGCACTGGGAGTAAATATTTCTATAGTTTTCATTAAAGTGCTTAATAAATAAAAGAAATATTATAGTTTAATTTTATTTGATTATCTTGTAAAATAAGTATATATACATATACTTTGCAAATAAAATTATTGTAAGTAAATAAATAGTTTTTTTATTTAGCAGAAAAAGTTTAGATAGCTAAGTTAAAAATTTTTTTTTTAATTTTAGTACTGTAGTTGTTATTTATACAATTATGATTTGGCTAAATAACAACAATTCTAAATATAATTTCATGAACAAATCATTTAAATATGTAAATTAAATGTTTATCTATTTAAATATATGTAATTAAATACCCGTTATCAAGTAAACCCAAATTTTCTATTTGCACAACTATAAAACTCTAAACTAATAATATTATTCTAAATCCATTGACAATTATAAATTTTACTAATTACAATAATTAAAAATATATGGTACCTTATTATATAAATTTTATTAATAATTAACTTTTATTTATATCTTATTTGAGCTATTGATTAAAATGTTGAAACTATTAAAATTTTAATATACAATGCTCGGTTAAAATTTGGACTCCTTAACAATGAAAAATTGTTTTACATTTTCTATTACAATTTATTATCTTGTCAATTTTTATATTAAATATATAAAATATTATAGTTATTTTCAAATAATGAACTTCATTTACGCAGAATATAAAAAAAATCACAGAATCATAACATTTAATTCTTCCATATTGATTTAAAAAACAAAAACGATAAAAAAAATTAAGATTACTTTTTATTATTTACACTATTGGTAAAAATTAAAAATTAATAGTAAAAATAACTTAGAAATTACTCATAAACAATATAATAATGGTATTTTTATAAAATCTTAAAAATAATGTTTAACTCAATTATATATATTAAAAAATATATAGTACATTCCATGTTAATTTATTATTATTCAATACCTTCAAGATATTTATTTGCATTAAATACATTGGAATTTTTTAATTATTTGTACTAAAATTCATTTTACTTTTAAATCTTTTAAATAATACATATGATGAATAATGAATATAAAATATATGATTAATAAACAAATAATTAAACATATTTTTATCTTATCTATAAAAATGATGTAACATAAATTAAATTTTGGATACTTTTTCATTTTATAATTAATTAGTTATTTTTTCTGAATAATCGTAGAACTTTCAATGTAATGGAATATTTCTTATTTTAATTATTATAAATTACAAAAATCCAAATTAGTAGTGCAACCTGATAATGTCAATAGTACTTGTGCCAAGTAAATAATTATACTCAAGGTCATATATATATATATATATATATACATATATAATTTCTATATGTATAAGAAAAATATAATTTTAATGTATTACATGTAGTATAAAAATAAATAAGTAAATGTTATAAAATTAAAAATATATATTTAATTTTAAATTTATAATATAACTGATAAATAAATATCTTCTCAAACAAGTAAAGAAAAACTTATTTAAAATTTTTAAAAATAATTAGAATATAAATCATATTTTTTAAACCAGACAAATTGAAATGTTATCAATCTGTCGCGTAAAATAAATGATCCATTTTAATCAATCATTTTCTAGTCTAAGTAATTAATAAAAAATTTAGTGAAAAACATAAATTGCGATTAACTAAATGAAATAAAATTTCAAACAAATACAGGACAAATTTGAATAAAACAAAATGAAATGCAATCACAAGAAGGAGAAGGGTCTCAAATCCTGGTATAAACAGCTTGATCTAGTGCATATGAATAAAATTTTCATACTTCATAGTTTTAAATTTTAATGTTTCGTATGTCACCTATTTAATCTCTAATGGCAGTATAAACGTAATGCCAGTGTTAAAACATAAATACATGTTTATTTTTTAATATAATATTTTTTGAAATTGAAAGCTAGCTTATACTATACTTTAACTTTAATATATATTTATTATATTACCTATGTTAATATGTTTATGTAAACTGTTAAAAATATAAGTTTATTTACTTTAATGTATTTAATTTGAAAATATTATAAAAACTAGTATTATATTAAAATAAAGTATATATAAATTATATTAATAAAAAGTAAAATATAAACATCAGTGTCATTATAGCAAAGATATAATGTAGTCGCATCACTTAAAGTAAAAATTAAGATGAATGTAATTAGCGCTGTATTGTTATTGCTTAAAAATTCTTACTTATTTTTTTCAAGTTCCTAATAATTAAATGGAACTTTGTAGCTATTGGTAACTAATTTAATATTTTTGTGGAGTATAGTAAATAACTAATTATAAGGTAATAAGTTTATTTGTATCATACAATGTAAATTGTATTTTAAAATTAAAAAATTTATGAAAAATATTAAGTTATTAAAGAGAAATAATTAATAATTCAATACAATTATTACATATCTAATTCCTCATACATATTTAAATCCTAAAATTATATTCACTAACTTTATTTTAATTTATACTACTAATAAAATATTATACTATTATAATTTAACAAGTATTTGTTTAAAATAATTTAATTAATTTATTATTAAAATTCATTCTTTTATGACTATAATAAATATAATCAGTGAAGTTCCATTATTTTTGACAATTTTAATATTAGAACTATATTTTATATAAGAAAATCCCTTTAAACTAATTTAGTATACTTTTATAAATATTTCCTATTAAAATCTTTTACTATTTATATCTTTTACTACTTACTATAAAAGTAAGCGTAGATGAATATCTAACACCTGTGATTTATTGAGATAAATTTGTTTAAAAAATAAGAATCTTAAATATTAATATGAGAATTATTCTATTAGTCGATTATATATTATACATTGGAAATAAAATTTAACATTTAACATTTAAATGTAGTATCGATCTTGACTAAAGAAATTTACGACATAGTGCTTAAAAACTTAATTAAGTATTTGGTTTTTTAGACTTAAGAGTTTGTAATAATACTTTCTTGAATTATAAATAACGTATGTAAGTTGTATTTATGTATGTTTAAATAAATAGTAATGATAAACAAGAATTATATTATAATTCTCGAAATTCATATATATAATGACGTGATATATAATATTACATATTAATGTGTATATATATATATATAATAGTTCATGCAATATGAATTAAAAAGATATTAGTTTTTCTACATACACTCATCAGAGAACTTAATTTACATCAAACAGCATGCATTTTGTGTCTTAAATCTAATGAAAGAAATCCAAAAATAGAATAAAAAAGGCATAAAAAATAATGAAGACTATATTGAAAATAACATCGAAAATAATGAAAGGGGGGATGTGATAATATTGAGAACTGGAGGATCATGATGTGATGTGGTGAGGTTAGGTCAACGCTTCTATAGCATCTCTTGAAAAATCGCATCCTTTTAGGGAAGCAAACAAACCGATCAATCGCTATTAATCACTGGCTCGCATAATGAGAGCCTACTATAGTTCATTATTTTCTTTATTCGATAAACAATAATAGTTTATAAACTCCTTATTAATATATTTTTACTAGAGTAATTACAAAAAGTGGTTAAATTTCATTTTATTTGAATACTCTTTTACTTATCGATATTCAAGGATTAAGCTAATAAAATCTTTACATCGGTTTTTTGAACTTTAGTATAGCATGTTTAGTCTTTTTTTTTAACAAAGCAATGTTAAACTTTTATATAACAACTTTTCTTTCATATATTAATATATATATATATATATATATATATATATATATAAATTTATTGCATTCCATTGTAATATGTAATAAAACAATCGATTTTCTGTTAAATCAAATTCTTAAATATAAATACACACACACACATATATATATATATATATTATTGAAAAGGAATACATTTAGATAGTTTTTAAAAAACCTTACAAAAAATGTTGCAATTCTTAAAGTACTTTAATACTGTTTTGATAAACATCTGATAAATAAATATTAATTTTGATCTTTTCACACAAACTTTTGCAGCTTTTTCAATACACGGAGAATTGCTCGATCCATAAAGTTTACTTCGACTTTATTTTGAAATAAATTTGACCTGGACTTGATTGCAATTACTTAAAAAATTATGCAAACTGAAATTCGTAGAAAGAGTAATTAAGAAATCTGGCACGCAATAAACGTTGGATATATCGTCGTATCAGAGCAACGAAAACGGAGTCGTCGGAATCTTCGCGCTAGTAAATCCACCGCACATTTCACAGATTTAATCTCTCCCGCATTTACATGAATATGCTCTCTCTCTCTCTCTCTCTCATTCTCTTTTCCTTACATGCGACTTATAGCGACATTCGTATACGTACTACGTCAAAGGTATGGAAATGTATTGTAGCTCTGTAACGAGGCGGCAGACATAAATAGAAAAAAAGAGGAAAAGAGCGAGACGTGGGTGAGTTTTCTGGAAATAGTAACTATGAGTCAGCAAGAGAGACACAGTACACCTATAAGAGCGAAAGAAGAAGAATGAAATTTTGCATAATTGCAAAAGCGCGTGTTAAAAAATAAGAGTGCTAACTAAAAAAATCAAATGAATGAGAAGGTAAAAGTAGGCAAGCATACAAATATATCGGAAGCTTTAACAGCCGATAGTCCTTCCCCGTTAGAAAACAAAATTTTCGTCGGTTGTTCCTCAGCCCCTCTGCCCCGTTACAGGAATCACAGCCATCTTTCTCCCACTAGCTGCCTTGCTCCCACTCAATCCCCACCATCGTTGGCAGAGGCACTGGATGCTGCCGCTTCCCTGCCACGCTTCCAGTCGTGCCCGTACATCGAACACGCGCGCGAACCCGTGAAGGAGAAAATTAAGAGAGAGAAAGGATATACAAGCAAGAGAGAAGCGACGCCGGATCGACAAACTAGCGTTTTCCTCGAGGAAGTGAGTGAGCGACAGCGTTTGCGTAGGTATGAGCACGTGGTGCACCGACCACAAGGAAGTGAAAGTGCCCCAGACAGTACCGTAATCTGCTGCGAAAAAATCTCGTATTTTCCTCATGAGATGAGATGATCGTCGCTTATAACAAGTGATTTACGTGATGAGCGCTTAAGCTCTTTGATGATCTTGCTGGTTTGAATGAAATCTGCTCGATTGCTCAAATGCTCGATTGCTTATTTTCTCAATGTACACTTGAATTTTATTTTAGGTATTTAATAATGAGTCCCAGTTAATAAATAATATAACATTATAAATGCTTTGTGAATGGTTAAGCATCCATTCATTCCTAATTTTCAATGATTATCTTAAAAAATTGACTTAACTATTCTTAACGTTCCAACGTTGAAGAAGTAATACATGTAAACTTTATGATTATTTAATGTAATTTTTATATAATTCATACCTAGTGCTGTTACCATTATTTCTAAAAGAAAAAATAATACACGCGACAACAGGAGAAGTGAACTCTTGTAAATAGAGTATTTAAGTCGCGTCCAACCGACTACAGGAAACATCTGTTCCCCGATAGGTCTGTAGTAATTTTTCAGGTAGTAGTAGAAAACACAACCGCTTGGCAAGAATCTGCTGCACCGCATAGAGAGGGAGTTCTTATTTTGGAATGATATGCGCACCCGACAAAACACACATAAGCGCGCGCGCGTTCACCCACTACACACACCGTCATATACTTAGGCATACATAGATATCGTATATACTTCGACAACACGTGCTACTAAGGTTTACAACATAGTGAATATTGCTTTCATTTCCATTTGTGACAATATATAATGTGTATGGACTCGAGTAAGTGAACTCAGTAATAGTGCAATTTTAGATTAAGTGTTGTTAAAAGGTGTCTTGAGTTTATAGGGAATCATATTTCAATTACTTACCTTATATTTGACTCATAGCGCATAGATTATTATTGCAATATTACATATGATAACGTTACAATTTTTTAATGTTAATATTAGAGTTATACCAGTAACTTAAATACTATCTTAAGTGATTTAAAATGTCAAAGTTTAAAAAAAAACAATTAATATTTTTACGTATCCATATTAACAAAATTAAATTACATGATAACAATTCCTTGATAATGAATTTCTAAATAAATATGGTAAATTACTTTAATTTCAATTATATATAATATTTTATAATAAAGTTTTATAATATTTTAACAAATATGAATTTTCCAAATTCATTTTTTCTATGTTTGTAAATTAAATGTTAAATAAGATTTATTATAAATATTCTGACTCAGACAAATTTATAATTACTATTTTATAATTTACGATTTTTTTGATTTTGTAGTGAAAATAATGACTAGGGAATAATCAACTATATTAAAAGTGTTATTAAAATATATATTAAAAATGCTGATATTTTGTAAGTTTAAAGTTTAGATTCTGAAAAATTTTCTATTATTATCATAAAATTTTATCAAAATATATAACTATTAAAAAATAGTTAAATAGAACTTGATTATATTATAACGACAGATTTTTAAATTTATAATTAACACATAGTAAATGTATAAAAAAAAATGTAAAGTCATTTTGCAGAAATTCATTATAATATAAATTATAAAGAAGGAACTGATTATTTATAATGATCTCCCCTTTATATTTATGAATACATAACAGTATTTAGTCATGGTATAAGTATACGTTTACTTAATTATTGATTCCACAAAATTAATATAAATATTTCGCGTATGTCTGTGTAGATGATAGATAATGAAGTCAAGACATTAAGCATCGCACTAACCAACGCAGAATCGGAAAAATCTAGACGATGGCCGGAAAAATAGTAGCCTACAACGTTTGCATTGATATCCTCTTATTATTTTCTACAGGTAATTCTTTTTTTATTTAAGATAATAACAGTCCATTGTTTCTTTTCAAAAAAGTAATATTTACGAAGAAAAAAAACATATTAAATGCATAATTTTTTGTTTGACTTCTTTACTTCAAACTTCAAACAAACATTAAGATATAATATTTACTTACTTACCTTACTCTATAATAATTTTATGAATTACATATTGCAAATAGGTATAGACTCTCTATTTGCATTAATATTTTTTTCAATAAGTTTTAATTATACACATAATTTTTTACTTTATTCTTCCGTAATTTTTCTTACAAATTATTCTAATTTAATAACTTATCACTTTATAAATCATATTTTCTATATTATTCAAACAAAATTTTTCTTTATAAAAAATATATATTTTGCATTATAATGCAACGTATAATATCATATATTTTGCATAATAATATAAATATTTAAATACTATTAATGAAGCATTTAACGAACATATTTTCTTATTGATAACTGATTATGGTTAAAAATAATATGTTTCATTACAAAATTAACATTGAAATATAAAGAAATTTTATGAAATTTCACACAAATTAATTAAATGTATTAAATTATAAATGTTAAAATTACCAATAAGTTAAATACCGTATCTTTTAAATGATTTAGTTTTTACTGAAATTTTCTTATTGAATTATGAATTGGAATTTGCGTTTTCGACTGTGGAAAGTGTGTATAACAAAGTAAAATTTGCATCGTCGACATTGCGATCCCTCCATTTGGATGAAATTACACTCAGTATTAAATGATATACTACTCATGCTTTTTGAATACTAAGCTTTGAATAATAATCATATGGCTGGTATTAATCATCGAGAGTCTTTTAATATACATGCATATATATAATATATATATATATATATATATATATATATATATATATATATTGGTGACTTTTCATTCTTTCCAATGAAACAATACTAATTTTATTTAATTTGTTGTACTTGACTTAGAATATATACAATTCTGCATGTGTGATTCGTATATCAATTTTTGAAAAAGCATTTAGATTTACTTTCCCAAGTTAAATTATGTAATTGTAAAATAACAATAATTTATCAATGTATTTATTATGAAAAAATTGTTCAAATATGAATCTGTAAGTAAATTAGTTTTACTTGTTATACAATTAAATGCGCAAGTTAATATCAATGCTAACTATTTACCATAGAAAACTAGAATTTTTTCTAAAGCTGTTCATTTTTATAACGAAAGCATCGATGAAAATCTAATTAATCCTATCATATTTCTATAAATTACACTAATACATAGTCTTTATTTATCCACAATAAAAAGTATGAAACAAGTATCCTGAAAATGTATTAATCATAGGTGTAAAATATAGTATCATAGGAGCGCAAGGCTCGGCATCTGTAAATTGGGATATTTTGAGTTGAAAGGAAGGCACGTAGTCGGCGAGGTCAACTGCTTCAGTATCTAATCATAGCAGATAAAAGTCAGACCTCGTGTCACCGACTTTATACGTATGAGAGTAAGCGAGAAAAAATTTGTATTAATAATATTTCATCTATATCGTTTTTCTAGTCGTCAAATCGGCTGACGAATATTTTTAGTGCACAAAACGACTCGTCTAAAAAGATTATGACTTGGTTGCGGAAAAAAGTCGAGTTGGAAAAATAAGCTTAAATATATTGGAATGGTCTGACAAACTTTAGAATCCCTCACAAATATAAATGTTGAAATATTCTAAAATTACCTTCAAAATCTTAGAAACGACAAATTCCAATTTTTCCAACTTTCATAATCTATTCCAAAATTTTGTAGTAGGTCTCTGAAGTTTATTGGAACCCAAAGTAAAATGATATTTATAATTCATACAATTATATATGATTATAAAAAACAAGCTTATTTCAAATTAGCGTATAAATTTTTTCCTATCAATTATGAATATTATTGGATGTAATAATAAATAATTGTTTTAATAAAATCTTTAAAGATTTTTGTGCAAACGAATTTAATATTAAATAAAAGAAATTTATATAAAGATCGTATGTTATAATTGAAATTTTCTACTGTTCATTTTACAGCTTAGAATACTTTATAAAATAACCATTTAAATGAGTTTAATTATTTAATCTTTAACCTTCATTTCTTGTTCTTTATGACACAAAATTTCTTGATTAACAGAAAGGGCTGGAAATAAAATTGACTTTAACTATACTTACATCGTAGTAGTTTAACGTTGTATATACGCAGTATTAAAAAAAATTAAAAAAAGATCAATTGTTACTTATTCTGTGATGATATGTAGCTAGTGATTCTCGTAAACATCCGCCACTGGTGTCTCACACCGATAATCTATCACGAATATAGTATAGGGCGCGATAACGACTTTTTCCGAAAATCTACGTATGGTGTCTTTCTCTATCTATCTTTATTTCTCTATCTTAATATGGATTTTGAGAAAAAATCAAACCCTTTGATTGACCACATAAATGCGAACGATGTGAGTTAAGAAGATAAATAAAAAATTTCTGTTGATTCAGTGGCTTCCCATAATACTTATATAAAGTATTCTGAATTTTTCATATAATTATTTGTACATGATTTAATTTTGATACTATATACCAGTTTTTTTCGATTGAAATGTTATTGATAAAATTAATTAAAATTTCATTCAAGGACATAATGATTAAACTAATGACATTATTAATAAGGATCAAATTATTTGACATTGTAGTCAAATAATTTTATTTTCATTAATAATAGCCTCGATAAATGCTTCGTTATTTTCATCTTCTTTATAGAAATGGAATAATTATTAATAAAAGTTTTTTTAATTTTTTTAGTCGTATTATGTCCTGTAAAAGCAGCTCAAGATTATGGTAGAAACTTGTCAAGAGTACCAACACGACGTAAGCAACATAATAATGTTATAGTTGAAACGTTAATTATTATTATTTAACTATTATGATATTAATGATATCTTAAGATCATTTTTTACCTTTATAAATATTTACAATATATTTTTAAATATAAGTTTAAATGCAAGATAATTTAAGATTTTTACTTGAAAAATGTTTTTAATTGTATTAGTTGATGCTATTATATGAAACAAATTATAACATATAATAATAGTTGATTTACAAAAAGCAATATGTAAAATCACTTTTCGAAATATTATCATTTTCCAAATATATCAAAGTATCTATAAAAAATATTGTTTCAGCTAATTTCGATCCTTCAATAGCTCATCATGGAAGAAATATATCACGTATACCAGTGCGAGGTAATATATAGAAACTGTAAAATTAATGTAATTAAGTATTTGTACAATCGTGAATTTTTATAATATTTGCCTACATCATATACTAATTTTTTAATTTAAATAAATATTAATAATATTAATTTAATTCATATTATTAATACAATATATTTTATGAATTAGATCATAAAAATTTATTTTAAAGAAACTTGTATAGGAATTTTTTTAAACATTTTATACAAGTAAAATATTTTATAAGTTGTATTTTTTATTATAAAGAATATTCACTATACAAACGTATAAAACTAATATGGTTTGCATTGAAAAAAAAATGCATAGAACCAAATGTTGTAGGGTTTGCTATAATGAGATATATATAGAGATTTATAATGAGATATATACAGAAATTTCGATATTGCAGTTCAAACAATATTATTATTAAAGTTATTTGTATAAAATCCAAAGTTTGTAAGCAATTAGCTAAATAGTATATGTGTTTAATATTTCGAAAAATCGTTTTTTAGAAAATTCTTTAAAACTACATCAAAGAGAACATTAAAAAATAGTTGTGAATTAATTCTCTTTACATTGTAAACTTTGTAAACATTGTAAACCGAAACTCTAAAACTTTACAGTCGCTTTAATTTCATATTTGTCTTTAAAAAATAAAATGAAAAACGGATCATTACAAACTTCGTATTACTCAATTACGATTATCAGCATAGCAAGCTATCGAATTAATGGATAAGATCGATTTATGTACAAACATCCGTAAACATGAATGTAAAAAGAAAAAAATCAATATTTTGAATAGCACGTTCAAATACATTCCGAGAAGGAAGTGTATTGAAAAGGCAGAGTATTTATTCATAACTAAAAATCAAAAGAAGTTAAACTGCAATAGAAGCTCAGTTGAAATGAAATTTTATAGAGATTATCCAGAGAGGAGACATTACAGGCACCGATGGCCCAAGTTTCAGGCCTGAGTGGTCATGGCTGAACGTTCTACGATCGAGAGGTAGACTTACATACACTGAGTAAAAAGACACATTGTGCAAGGGCTCTACAAACTATCTAGCAAGGAATTCTTCCACGCACCATTGCATCCATATCGTAGAAATTAATACGAACTCACAGAGAATGCCAATGTATACGATGGTAGATTTACTTATTCACTTGCAATCGCATGAACGACGTTTATGTAATTATGATTTAGACGGTGGATTGAAGGACTGGAGAATCCCTCTTACTGAATGTTTTGGTGAATGGCTGACGACTATACATGAATTCTGGTTTATGGTTTTTAATGGGCTTATTAGAATCATTGACCTAATACTCTATTAACTTGTCGTTTTTAAATATATTTGTATTGAAATGGTACTTACAAGCTGTATTTTCCGAAAGTTCGTTCTCTTTATTCAATTAGCAATTTAGCCTTCGTTGTGACAACATTGTCTTATATAATCGTAGGAATCAAATAAAATGAGTTTAAATTTTTTTTATAAATAATGGTTGAAAAATTTAACAAAAAGTTGGTTAAAAGACAAGGTATAATTTGTTGTTATTAGTAATCTTTGTATTCACTTCAATTTGATGTTCATTATCATCCTACTGCATTGCACAGAAACATCTTTAAATGCAATAACCATTTCATCTAAAATTTACCCGTAATTTAAAGTAAATATTAATATTTGGTATATATATATATATTTTATGAAAAAATTATAATTTCGCCAATCTTCATTTTTATGTAAGTTATATATATATATATATTATAGCAACTATAAATATATTTTTTAATACAATCTTGATTTGCTCAAATAATAATCTACTCATTATATTAAAGACGAATTAGTTAAACGTAAATAATAATGAATAGGATGTCAATTTATAATCTAGATGTCAATAAGATATAAAAAAAATTGATGTCCAAAATAGGAAATATCAAATTTTTAAGTTATAAAACTTACATATAACTAAAATACATGATTTCAAAGTGCAATATTCGTAATTGAACGAATTACAGAATATATATACAGAATGTTACAAAGATTCATAACTTTGGAAATCCAATTTCATTTAATTCACTCCATACTCGTTAATACAATACGAGCACTGACCCGCTTTTCTTCGAAAATAAAGTTAGCGACTAACGAACGCATCGGGTAATGGTTGATTGCCTTAAGCATATAAAAAATAATAATCTAAACTAATGAGAATGACCTTCTTTTGGGGACAGGTCCACATGTGAAAAGGGTTCACCCATGCGAACAGGGCTCGTGCTATCCGGCTACAGGAAACCTGTTGATCGGACGAAGTAAGCAACTTCACGCATCCTCAACCTGCGGTTTAAATGGACCCGAGAGGTACTGCATCGTGTCTCATCTTAAGGACAGGAAAAAGTGTTTCTTTTGTGATGCTTCAAACCCGAGACAGCAACACAATATCGAAAACATTGTTAGCGGGTAATTGTCTTCGACAAATTAAAATATTTTTCAACTAAATATATAAGTATATATATATATACCATATATATATATATATCATATATATCATATAATATATATATATATATATATATATATATATCGTAGACAATAGATCGTATATGTATATATATGTATATGTATATGATATGTATGTATGATACGTATATATATATGATATGTAATAATATAAATAGTATATAAGTGGCCAATTAATCTTTGATACATCTGTAAAATACTATAGATCAATGATTTTCTTGTCCTTGTAATGTGTTAGCTGTAGTTTTGGAATAACTTGAACGGCCAATCGGAGTGTTGAATTCGGAATTCAAATAGCACTAAATAATACGTCTCATTTTCTTCGTGAATGTAACAGAACACCCCATAGAACCTGGTGGCAAGCGGAAAATGGCATGGAGAATGTGACGATTACGTTCAATCTAGAGGCCGAATTCCACTTCACCCATATCATCATCCACTTCCAGACGTTCCGACCAGCGGCTATGCTCATCGAGCGTTCTTACGATTTTGGACACACGTGGCAAGTCTACCGATACTTTGCACATGACTGCGCCGGTTCTTTCCCAGGAGTACCAACGCATCAGCCTCAAAAGCTGACTGATGTCATTTGCGACTCACGTTACTCCAACGTTGAACCCTCTGCCGACGGCGAGATCATCTTTAGGTGAGCATTGTATTTGATACTCGTTCAGCTAATTTAGGTGATTTGGCTAAAAAGGTTTTATAAATATATGAAATTGCTATTATATGAAAACCGTTATTGATCTTGCATACAAAAGCTCACACTTTTAAAAATGTTTACCTTGCGGAATGATAATAGTTAACTAATTTTAACTGGATAGAACATCATTGTATAAATACGTTTGATTTAAAATATAAATAATAGACTTATTTGCTTCATTCTATTAGCCAAAATTAATTGAGTATAATAATATTTCGTATTGATATTTTATTTAAAGTATTTTGGCAAAATGGCAAAGTTTATGATATTATTCATTTTTTTTTTAAAGCTCAATAACATATCTATTAATACCAGTGGTTTTACTTAATTGATATTTTATTTAAAGCTTGTATTCATTTTTTTTTTTAAAGCTCAATAACATATCTATTAATACCAGTGGTAGTTTCATACAATATTTTATACGTATAATACCTTTTTTATTAATTTACGAAGCAAATATAACTTTTATTGCTTTTTTTCAATGTAGCCTACTGGCATGCGAAAATGTAAGCCTAAAATCTAATTAAATTATTACTAATATATAATGTGTTATTTGTAAATTCCCTTATTTCCATTGTTACAATTCTTGCGCAATTCATATGTGCCCATTCTTAGTAGATAATAATGATGCCATTAAACTATTATTTTAATTATAATAATATCATATATCTATAATTGTAAATCTATTTTAAATAATTTATTTTGTTTATGTATAAAATTGATTATATTGTCTTCATCTATAATGCACCTCGAAAACCATTGCCTATCCTTTTTATAAACAAAATTAAGATTCTATATATTCACTGTATACAATGCAATTAACAGTGTAATATAAAATGCTCATTTTCAACTTAAACGTGAATATTTACAAATTAAATGATATTTTTTTAAATTTCAATAATAAAAAACCGAAATGTGTCTCTTATTTACTATTGTACATTGTAGTATTCTCTTTATTAGTTATCTCTTTAATGGATATCTTTTTTCATAATAAAGAAGAATATCTGATTCAAGGGATCAGATGTTCAGATTTTTTAAGTTAATCGATTTAAGAACAAACAAACCATTGACGATCTCAGAGTGCTACCGAGTAACCTGCCAATCGAGAACCCGTACTCAAAGGAGGTGCAGAACCTTCTGAAGATGACGAATTTCCGAATAAACTTTACGCGTCTACACACCCTAGGCGATGATCTTCTCGACAATCGTCCAGAGATCCGAGAGAAGTACTACTACAGCATCAAGGACATGGTAATAAGAGGCTCGTGCTCGTGCTACGGGCATGCTTCGCGTTGTCTACCCTTGGATGGCGTCGCCAACGAGGAGGATATGGTACACGGACGCTGCGAGTGTACTCACAACACGAAGGGCCGCAATTGCGAGAAATGCAAGGACTTTGACAATGACCTGCCGTGGAAACCAGCTGTCGGCAAGCAGACCAATGCCTGTCGTAGCTGTAATTGTAACAACCATACCACTAGCTGCCACTTTGATGAGGCCGTGTATGAGAGGAGTGGACGTGTATCTGGTGGCGTCTGTGATGACTGTCAACACAACACCAGAGGACAGAACTGCGAACTTTGTAAACCGTTCTTCTATCACGATCCTACCAAGGACATCTCTAATCCCGAAGCCTGCCAACGTGAGTTGAATTATATTCGTTCTTCAATTATTACTATTGCATGAATATAAGGTATTTAATGAATATGTATACGATAGATAAATGTACCTATATTATTATTATTTGAAAATATTGTAGCATGTGATTGTGACCCACGAGGATCACTAGATGATGGAATTTGTGACTCTCGTACCGATCAACTTAGTGGAGACGAATCCGGACGTTGTCATTGTAAAACAAACGTAGAAGGCAGACGATGCGACCATTGTAAAAATGGCTTCTGGAACTTTACTGAACACAATTCTGAAGGATGTCAAGGTAGTAAATACATCTACTTTTGAGTGCTTTCACAACTGAAATGGCATAAGCAGACTTTCATTTCGCTCAAAAATCTTCTAGTGAAAATGGCCGTCTCCTTTTTTCTGAATGTTTAAACTATTTTTTATATCAATTCAATACGACTATAATTCCTTTTTTCTATCATCAGCATGTACCTGCAATACTCTTGGCACAATCAATAATCAAGGCTGCAATATGGTTAGTGGTGAATGTACTTGTAAACGCTACGTGGTCGGACGTGACTGCAACCAGTGTCTGCCCGAATACTGGGGATTATCCGACGATCACGAAGGTTGCAAGCCTTGCGAATGTGACCTTGGTGGTTCCTACAATAACAGTTGCAACATCGAAACGGGTCAATGTTACTGTAGACCACATGTAAGCGGTCGTACGTGCAATCATCCAGAACAAAACTATTACACTGGATCCATAGATTATCTGATCTACGAGGGTGAAAGTGCTATAGGAACCGATGTGAGTAAAGATATATGCATGTTTTATTGCGTAGTACATTATCAATTTCGAGTCTCAAGGATAATTTCACTTTAGAATTTCTGCCTGAAATCTCAACAAATCAAAAACCGAAATAATAAATTGTTTCGCATAGTCCTTAAAAATTACAAATTACATATATACCTCAATCAATATATAAGAAATGATGCATTGTACAAGATTACTTGAATTTATTATACCTATGATATTTATAATCTCAGTAGATTTGCATAAAGCGTGTTATTTAAATATTTATAATCTGTAATATTTGAGCAAATAAATTATATTTAATGCTCACGATTAAATCGATAATGAATTTAGCTCGGAAAGTAAAGATAAGAACGAACGTCTGTAAAAAGTAAAAAGAAGTAAAAAAAAAACTAAAAAAAGGTAAATGAAGCAGGTAATTAAAATAATAAAGTAATAAATGAAAAATATATGAGCTGTTATCTTAATTATTTACAATGATGTTATAATAAGTAGCATATTTAGAAAATAACTATTCACAATAAAGCACAACTATTGAACTATGAAATTGATGGTGATAAATTCTATTGGATCGATAGCGGAAACTCGCGTCGTTAATATAGAATGAAAAGAAATTCGAATTTTCCAGAATTGTCAAGTGGTCATTCGCGAGCCATATCGTGATGGTCGCAACAATACTTGGACAGGGCTGGGCTTTATGCAAGTGATCGAGGGCTCAATATTAAATTTTACGATAAACGACGTATATCGCACGATGTGGTACGATGTAATTATACGGTACGAGCCAAAGCACGCGGGCAACTGGGATGATGCGGAAATCATCATCGAGCGCAACGGACCTGTCGATCCTGATGGGCCCTGCGCTGACTGGCAACCCGAGCATGATCGACTCTGGGTGCAGCTGCCGACGAATCAACGCAGCTCGATGGCAACACCACCGATCTGCTTGGAAGCTGGCAAAACTTATACGGTGCTGCTAGAGTTAAGGAAGTTCGCCGGTCCGAATGACTCGCCTACAGCTTCTATTCTTATTGACTCGGTGGGTATTTATTCTGCATGTGATGAAATTGTTTTTTGATTGAATTCATTGGAATATGGATTTATTGGGATTGGATTCGAGAGAGAAAAATTAGCCTATAAATGAGTAATTATAATTGACTGGTAAAACTGGAAAATGCATTAATAATCTCATCACATACTATCTATTGAATGCAGATGGCAAAGTTTATGATATTATATCATTTTAGTGTTAAGGTTGCCTGTGCAGGTATTAAAATAAATATACCAATTGTTTTATTATCGTTTGCAGGTTATTCTTAGTCCAAGAATTGATTCAATACCGTTCTTTACTGGCGGTCCAGGAGAAATTCGTCGACAGGAATATGAAAGATTCCGTTGCAAAGATTATCACAACAATGTTTATGATTATTACAGCAGTTATGAAAATAGAACTGAAGTATGCAGCAAATACCAAAATAGCATAGGTCTTTACGTTTTTGATGGAGCGCATTGTACGTATAAACCAATAATCTTAAGTACACTATATTTAGCATTAATTGTGTCTGTTATATATATGGATTATTTCAATCTCCGTCAAACAATTTAGGTTTAAATATATAAATACAAATGAGATTAAATTTGGCTGAATGAACTGTGACTTAGACTAAATTTTGCAAAAAGTAGATCAAAAGTTTATTTTAAAAAAAAATAATTGAATGTAATTTTTAACAGTTCTTGACTTATATTTATGCGATTATTTTATGTGATTTAATAAGAACTTTAGTAAATTTTAAATTATGTATATATAAATATATAACTAAAACTATTTATTTCTTGATTACTATCCATTCTTAAAAGATTTATATTTTCTATTGAATATATATTATAAACATTATATCTTAATTAATAATAATATAATATGAGTTAAAATAATCAAAACAATTGATTAAATTAAAACGTTACATTTAACATTTACTTTATTTAATATTTGGCCGAACATAATGTTTGAAATTACAAGTACTAAATAATATTAAATATTTCAATCCGTATGAATTAAAAGTGAAATGATTTTATGTTAAAACTTCATAGAATACTTTTGAAAACACATTTATATTTTAGTTTAAAGAATTAAATAACTAAAATTATATATTAGAATATTCTAAATAATAATAATTTAGATTCCAAGTTGATGATGTAAAATTTTCTTACATAAAAAATTTCGGCTGAAAAAATAAAAATTTGAAGCTATCGCTCGATGTAACTTTAGTTAATGACAAAAATAAATACTATAAATATTCGTTTGAGGAAACCACTGTATTTAAACAATGGATTTATTGACTGACTGAAAAAATGACCTCTTAATAACTAAAACAAAACATGCATTTCTCATAGTTTGCGAGTGTAATCCAACTGGGTCGCACAGTTTGATCTGTCAGAATTATGGTGGTAACTGCATTTGCAAGTCAAATGTAGTGGGTCGCAGATGTGACAAGTGTGCCCCGGGTACATACGGTTTCGGGCCCGAAGGATGTGTGCCCTGTGACTGCGATGGCGTCGGGGCCCTTGATAACTTTTGCGACGTCGATACTGGCAGGTGTAAGTGCCGGCCGAACACTTATAGCAGAACCTGCGGGCAGTGCGAGCCCGGATTCTGGAACTTCCCTCATTGCCGCAGATGCGAATGTAATGGACACGCAGATAACTGCGATTCCACGACTGGTGCTTGCATCAACTGTAGAGACTCTACAACGGGACACAACTGTGACCAGTGCATCGAAGCGTACTACGGCGATCCTAGGATCGGTGTTGACATCAACTGCCGCCCTTGTCCTTGTCCTGGTAATTGAGTTTTCGTTTATTTAATTAAGCCTTTTTCATTCTCGACAATAAAGTTATTATTTATACATTTGCATTGTAAAATTTTTGTAGCGAAAAACTATGCTTTCGATACACACAATGTAGACTGATGATACTTTTTAAATTTAGGAACGCTAGAAAGCAGTCATGCATACGCAGACAGCTGCTCTCTAGATCCAGTGACTCAAGATGTAATATGCGAGTGCTATCAAGGCTATGCGGGTCCACGTTGCGAAACTTGCGGTGACAATTACTACGGAAATCCGGAAACTCCGGGTGGCAAGTGCGAAGCTTGTGAATGCAATAACAATACCGATCCAATGAGGCTAGGGAATTGTGACCCCCAGACGGGAAAGTGCCTCCAATGTCTTTTCAATACCGACGGTTTCAACTGTCAGGTGTGTAAACCCGACTTCTATGGGGATGCACTCCAGCAAAATTGCCAGTCATGCCAGTGCAACATCCTTGGTACAGATGCACGTGCTGGACCCTGCGATCATCGTACCGGACAATGTCCTTGCTTGTCTCATGTCATCGGCCAGGTCTGTGATACTTGTGAAGAGAACCACTGGAGGATCGCCAGCGGAGAGGGTTGTGATCCATGTGAATGCGACGTCGTTGGCAGCGTATCCGACAGGTTGAGAACACTCAGCATATATTTTCCTTGTTTATTTGACTTCCTAAAAATAACTATTAAGGTAGACAATAAACAATTTAGACTTTCACAGCTTTATCAGAATAAAAATTTAATAGACAATTGCAGTAGCATTTATCTCGTATGATGTCAAGTGTTGAATAATTAATTTTAATTTGGTTACTGCTTCATTTTTCGTAATAGTATTAATTACTTAAAGAGATGAATCTGATCGGCATCTCTCGAAATCGACGAAAAATTTGTATTTCTTTTAAAAAGATTTTTTATACGTGGTATTAAATGAAAAAATATACTTGCTGCACATTGAACGGCACTTGATCCACATTACAATATTTAGTTAAATGATGACTCCGAGTGCTAAGTGCGCAACAAACAATAATTTCATTTTTTCTTATCAACTCCGCATCATTATCCTGGTGTCTTTTCCTACAAATAACGTATTCCTATCATTAATAGTAATGCCTTGAAATGTCGCAGATGCAATCCGTACGACGGCACGTGCGAGTGCAAACCGGGCTTCGGGGGTCGACGCTGCAACGAGTGCCAGGCAAATTATTGGGGTAATCCGAATGTACAGTGCTTCCCGTGCGAGTGCGACGATATCGGTTCATCCAGCCAGCAATGCGATCGAGAAACCGGTGTCTGTGTTTGCCACGAGGGCATTGGGGGCGAAAAATGCGACCAATGCGACCGTAGCTATATCGGTGTGGCACCGAGCTGTTCGCCTTGCGGCGAATGTTTTGATAACTGGGATGCGATCCTTGAGGGGTTGAGGAAAAAGTCACTACTAGTTATCGATGAAGCATCCAATATACAGAAAATCGGGACTACTGGTATTTACAGCCAAGAATTTGACGACATTGAGAGCTCTATCGCACAGGTAAATGCCAGGGCATTGCATTTAAATACTTAATTTTACCCACTAATAATAATTGTTAGTAAAAAATAGCGCTATAACTATGCAAATATAACTAGAAATAGCGCTTTCATATTAAGTAATTATTTATGCTTAAACATATAATATATAATTAAAAATGATCACTACATTATGGAATAATGTGATCTTAAGGCTTTAATATAGTTAAAAGTATTTGTACGTTTGTATACAGGTTAATGTAGTAATTGACAGTTCATCGGTAAAAAACCAAGATTTGGAAGATCTCAACCGTATGTCAATGAACCTTGAGAAAGACATAGACTCGTACAATAATATTTTAGAAGAGTTGGACAGTCAGTTGGAGAACGTAACGCAACGTGTAACCCTAGCAGACGCAGCACTCAAAAGGCTGAAAAACAGAACCGACATCCTTCACGAAGGTGCGTCGGACCTACGAGAGAATGCAAACAGACTCCAGGAGGCAAACGTCCAGGGTGCTCTGAATGTCACCCAACAGATGGCTGATCAATCGCGCCTCGCCGAAAAGATGGCCGCGGAAACGAATGGTGTTCTTCTTGACGCTGAACGGTACAAGAAAAATACAGAAAATCTATTAGCTAAAAGCAGCGCCAACGTAGAAGAAAATCGTCAGAAAAATAAAGACTCTCTCATCAAACTCAACGAGAAACTCGACTCCCTTGCAATCAATGTACCTGAACTTAATCAGTTCATGTGCGGCAGGAATGTATCCGACTGCAGTGACGTATGTGGTGGAGCTGGTTGTGGATTCTGCGGTGGACTTTCCTGCGACGCTGGAGCCATGACCAAGGCTAGTCAGGCCCTCGACGTCGCTAAGCAACAGGCAACAAAGATTAAGAACCACAAGGACGAAGCCGAACAACTACTGCGGAACGTAAGTTTCATTGGGAGTTGTTAATACAGTTCCTGACTACGTTGTTGTACAATCAGGATAAGCACATGAGAAACGCTTTACATTTAATAAATTTGAGCTTCGATTCTTTAAATAAACGTATTTATGTTTTTTTATAATTTATATAACAAAAAACTTCTGAGTATTGAAACGATTCGTTCACTTAGGTTTCAAAATACTCTTAATTTTACTATTTTATTAAAAACAAAATATATATATATACATGAATAAATATATTTTAAAGTAAAAGTTCCTACAAACATGAACCGACTATTAACCACATCCTTTTAAATTTGAAAAAAACTTTCTTTTCATGGATCGACATATAAATGGATATAAAGATACGTCCATACCTTTACCTCTCAGCACTGCTAGAAAAATCATGAATTTTTATTCCTCGACTAGCTAAGCATGAAAAGTAATAAAATTTCTTCCATTTCTTTAATTTCTTTTTATAGATGATTCGTTTGAAGGATAATGCGTCGGGTGCGCGCGGTAATGCTCAAGAGGCTTTCGACCTCGCATCAACAGCACGAAACCAGTCAAACAAGCTTATGAATGATCTATTAGATGTGAATAAAAAGATTTTAGATCTCCTAAAGGCCGAGCAACCGACGCCTGCGGAGGTGCGTGATTTGGCCAAAGAGGTTCTCAGCAAAAACATTACACACACGCCCAAAGAAATAAAATACCTCGCAGACCAAATCGCCACCATCGTTGGCTCTCTCAACGACCCTGAGAAGATTCTTCACGAGACATTCTCCGATCTGCAACTGGCCAGAGATTTAAGGGAACAAGCCAACGAGTCAAAAATCATCGCCCAAGAGAAAGAGGCTCTTGTTGGTAAAGTCGTTAGGCTATTACAAGAGACACAAACTTCCCAGGAGTTTGCGCGAGAGGCCATTAGCAAAGCTGAAGCCCACATCGAACTTTCACAGCGCGATCTCGATGAAATATCTCAGATCACCAAAGAGGCAAAGAAGAAGGCCGAAGATACAACTAACTCGGTTATGGACTTAGGTAGGATATCAAATTATATCTTTCTTAATTATTAATTCAAAGAAAAGATAAAATATAAATTATTGCATTAGTATGTATTTGAAATATATATATATATATAGTATGTTTTAAAGATATGTTAGAAAGCATAAATGAAAGTATAAATGAGAGCATAAATATATTAGAAGCGATAAATAAAGAGTACGTTTAAAAATATACGATTGACAAGAAAATTCTGGATATTCTATTCATTTTAATGATCGATATTATTTTCAAAAACATATGATAAATGAAAGTGCTCTATTTTTGTGTAATAACTAATCAAAATTTGTTATCTCATATTAGAGAAAAGATTACAGCATCTGCAAGCGGAATCCGTAAAGAATGACTTTATCATCAAGCAGGAAATCCAATTTCAATCCCATAACATATCCGACGAAGCCAGAAAGGTTAAAGCCAAGGCTGAAAAACTGGGACAGGACTACAAACAGGTCGGTGAATCCCTAAATCAACGGGTTAACAAGAGCAAAGACGATATTCTCAGAGCTAAGGGACTTCTGCAGCGAGCCTCGGAACTCACAGCTGACACACAAAGTAAATTCAAGGATCTTGAAGGTATGGAGAGTGTTTACAAAGACAACGATAGGATGCTGCGGGACCTTATGGAGGAAGTCGACAGTCTGAATGACGAGATGGATAAGCAACTCGCCGAATTTGAGAACAAAGCTCAATTGTATAGGCAGTGTTCGTAAATTACTTTATCTGAAATGAAACGAATACTCGTCTTTGATCTTCTGCGATAAACTATTTCGAATTATCTAATTGAAATATCTTCGTAAATTTTTAAAATTTCCTATAGTGACATTGCTTACTTTTTTAATGACATTGAAAGTATAATTACTTTTTAAACAGTTAGGTAGAGTCTTATTAACTTAAACATGTTTTCGTTTTCTAATAGAATTTTTTTGCACGTCTAAAACATTAATTTTATTATTTTTCTATTATAAAAATTATTCAGTTAAGCCCAATTTGATTAATGGTTTTAATAGAAAACTTATTGAACAATATTTATTTTTAATATTAAGTTATTTCATAAATAAAAAAACTTTTTTGTATAATTTTATGTAAAATATTTACAAAACCGATAAGCAATTTAAAATTTGAATTTTATAATTTAAATACGGCTATATTAGAACATATATTTATGCCTACAATACATTACGAAAAGATTTCTATTGGATCGAAATGTGTAACTTAATACAAGTTGGTGTACTAAATACTTGACTATTGTACTTTTACTGGTACTTAGCTGTAATATAGCTAAACATTTTCTTTGCTTGGAAGGTGAACCTTTTAATATTTAAAAAAAATGAGATATTAAACGCGAATTTGGTTATTAAGTGTTTAATTAATCATTTAATTATATCTCTGAGCTATAAACGTTTTTTTTTCATATAATTGTAATAATTTACTGAGATTTAAATGCACGTGATTTGGTTATTTCTCATAGCGTCCCAGAATCATTTCTTAAAAGGTACCAGTAATGCATTTTTTTTATATTTTTATATACTTTTACATGATATTTTAAAATAAATTTTTATATGTTTTTACGCATTAAAATATTTTATACCCTATTAAAAATTAAATTTTTTTTATAACATTATGGTTTACATTTTTTACTATATTTATACATGTTGATTTTAAATAAAGTTATAAAAATATTTATTAGTTTTCGTGGATTGTGCTTTTATCGAACAAATAATCTTCAGAATTATTTAAAAAGTCAATACTTTTGTAATGATATTTTTAATATTTTAGACGCCAAAACAAAATTGGTAATTGATTTTTTAATATATTTTAACAATTTTTACTATCTCAATAAGTGTATTATTCAATATTACGTATGTTAAAATATTATTATTTATGAAATATTTATATAATAATATATATATTATTTTTTACTAAAATAAATGAAAATAAAATATATAAATGATAACATTTGAAATTGTAAATTAAAACTATACAAAATTATATATTTCAAAATTTTTAAGATTTTCTAATTATTTAATTATCCATTAACCTAAGTATTAAAAAATCTTACTAGATTATTAGGCAAGTCTACAATATTTATTTTATTTTTAATTGTCATCAAGAAGTTTGTTAAAGTTACTAAATTATACTATAAAATACAGGCCACAAAATAAAATTTTAGTTTCTTAAATTTATGAATAATACACAATTTTTCTGACTTTATTTGAACATATGAAAATATAGTAAATTTATTAGTCATTCCATAATTTCTATGTAATAAATTATCTTTGCATATATTCGATAAATTACACGTGGAGGTTTTGAAAATGAAACCTAATGAAAGAATCGTTAACTTTTCTGTTTCACCGATTTTTCTACGTAAGTGCCATAAAATAAAATAAAAATTAAATTTTTCAAAACACTCAAAAGTGTAAAGCAGAATGAAAAGACATATAATAAAGGAAACATGACCTTTTAAAATACAAGACTGTAAATAGACAACTAACGATAAAAATTTCGTGTTATTAAATATCCTCGTTAAATACAATATAATCTTTAGCTCTAGAGACGTAGTTAAAGTACAAATAAATGAAAATTTGTTACGTAACAAACAAAAATGCATTTATATAATACTTCTTTGAGACAAGACTTTAACATTGTATAAGAGCTTAACGTAAACAAAATATTTTTTTAACTATCGATGTAAAAAAAAAAATGATTCGGAGAAAAATTAAGAAATAATTTTTATATTAGATTTTATTATTAAACAACTATGTATTGGCTATTATCAAGACCAAAGTTTATTTTAATATATTACTGAAGTACTTTAGATATTGGTAGGAGAAACAAAATAAGAAAAAACTCACGTCAATAATCCCGTCAATTGCCCTTTATTAATTAAAGGATGAAAAATGCAATACAATTATGCTTCAACCAAAAGTCTTACATTTATATATATAGTTAATACATTGTTATATGAGTTTATGCTTAATGAAAATATTATTGTGTAGTAAAAAATAAAATAAAATAGTTAATAAAAAAAATTTTTAAATAATCGATGAATTATTTCGATAAATCGTAAATTCGTTGAATTAACGATTTTCTGACCTATATGTACTTTTTATGTATTATTTTATATTTATATTATATATATATATATTAACACTCATAGTGTTCCTATTAATCGTTATATTCGTATATAAATTTCAGTTTTATCTATAATTTAAGAATAATAATCTTAATTTTATCAATAATATTACTAATTAAAATAAAAGAAAACTTATTGAACCAATCTTAGTTTGAACTATTTTTTAGTAGTTTGATAATAAAATAATTGAAACATATAAAAGATTCATTTCAGACAAAATCGTGGTATTATTTACTAATATAAATCATAATGAGCTGTCATCGACTACTTAGAATGTAATCAAGCCCGATTACACAGATAAAAATCAACCTCCGTTTTATTTACTTATTCAAGCAGTAATTTGTAGTCAAGTACTACTTTATCTAATTACATAATTCGTCGTTTAAATAAGAAGTTGGTTAAACAACTACTTAAGTGCATTATTTCATCGTTTTAACTTATTGCCAAGAATAATGAAATTAAATTACAATATAAAATATAGTTGTTGGATTTTTAAATTTTCATACTCATTAAACAACTAATAGAACACTTAAATTTCTATAATAATAAATTAAGCAAAAATAATCGAAATTTTAAAGCTAAGTTGGAAAAACTTATTCGATTACAAGAAAGTTAATAATATTCATTCATGGGGTACAAATGCGATAATATTAATAAGAACTGGCGGATTAATGATACATGTCAGCCCTAATTGGCCTGTATTAAGATAACATAGAGACCTGCACAATTCACGTTATTTTATCAGAGACGGCAGATATTGAATGTCCTTCGGGGAACAGAGGCACATTTCTTAATAACATCGACGAAACTTACAGGTGTCTGTCACAGATACCCTAAGACTTTTTTCTATCTTGCCAAGGTTATCGTACAAGTGGGTTCTTTGTGCTCGTCTCTAATTTTATCTTTTATTGAGAAATTAAACCTGTGCTTCGAGTAAATCTGAGATTCAAAGTACTTAGTCATCCAGAACAATAATTCTTTTCATTCTTTCGTTTTCAACTTTGCAAAGGCTATCGAAGCGACCAACGAAAGTTTACATATAGAATATAACTTAAGTTTTAATCTACATTACAAAATCTAACGGAATCATCGCGTAATTATAGTCGACTTAAATTCAACCTACGTATCGTTTTATTTGTGATGAATAGGAAATTACTTTTCACTATTGAAAAAACTGGCAATTATTGGACCGGATATTTGTTATCGTATTGTGAATTAAATTTAAAAAAACCATGTTGAAGCGATTGTTAATTATTTGAAATGAAGGTAAATTTTCTAGAATTTAATAAGAAAAAAAATGAAACTCTTATATTAATATTGTACTAATTTCTTTTATCGAGTAATTATTAAGATTTGCATACAACTTGTTAAATTATTTTACAAATAAATTGTTCTATTTTCATTCTTTATAAGTACATCATAATTTTTTAAATAAATTTAATTAATATATGCGCAATATAAATTAGTTATTTAAATTTTCTATAAATCAGTTTAATAGTTATATTTTAGATTCTGATTTTAAGCATTTGTAATTAAAATGGTTATGATACTATTTTTAAAATCTTAATTTATTTGAAATTATCGTTTCACTGACTACCAAAAATATGGAAATATATTTTTAATAAAAATCATTGATTTTATATAAATTACTCGATTAACAATCAAGTTAAAAATTTAGATGTAATAATATTAATATATAAAATCGGAAATTATATCTGAAAGATGTAATAATGTTGCCGTAAAGCTCGAATTTATTTGTTCCGTAACATAGACAGCATTTTTTGATATTTAAAAGGTTTAAAAAATTTTTGATTTATTTATATATATCGCGTACAATGATAAAGTATAGAATAAAAATGGATAAAAATTTTACTTATCATTGAAAATAAACAACAATACATCCAAAAAAACTCTTGTACACTGCAAGCTAAACGAGCCAACCTTTTTTCAAAGAAAACTATTTCCAGTCTATACAAATATAAAATCAAAATGGAAAGAAAATGATAAACGAGACAATGATCCGGAAAACGTTAAGCAGACCCTGGTTAACGGAAACCCAACTGTGTAGCAGACCTTCGTTATAATACAAAGTCCACCCATAGACTTGCATATAAAACGAAAATTATTTGATGCATCGATCATTTTTTGCCCTTGAAATAATGCAAAAGTACTCTTGGTCTAATTACGAATGCAAATAATGTTTCTAATTCTGAACTTCAATTTGACGAGTGTATTAATAGAAAATTAAAATGTTCATGTTATTTTATTTATATAAAATAATATGCATTCAAAATAGTGTTTACAAGTTATAATATGAAAAGTATGAGTAAAGTGTATAAATTATAAATGAAACTTATTCTTTATTCAGAAAAGTTATCTTTTTAATATTTATTCTGAATGAATAAAGCCCGTGTTTTGTCTGCTAATGCATATGTTACATCTGGATGATACACAAAATAAATGAGAAACATAAATTAATATCCTTAATTTTTTAAATATTTTATTTGATATAACATTAAATTTTTATTACAGTACAATTTTTAGAAAATTCTTTTTGACAAAAGTGTTGAATCAGAACGCTCAAAACCTAATGAAATAATCATTATGATTTTTTATACAAAAATAAAATCAAGTATGAACTACTGTTATCGCTAAATATTATATGTCGTAAATGTAAATTAAAACATGATAGATTCTCAGAATTAAGTAATACTTTTTAGGGATAAT